CTACCACTAAGCTACCCGGTAGTCATTTAACTGATATTGCTTTCCAAGCATTTAAACTATATTTTGAAAGAGATTTAATACAAAAAAGGTACAAAAAAAAATTAAATTATCAGTATTACAGTGTATTATACATCATTACATTATAATTGTATACTCAATAACAAATCTAAGATGTTTCTAGATTTATTTTTATACATCTTAGGACTCTTAAAACTATTTTAGTCGTAGTTGATGATTAAAAAAAAATATATATAACAATAATAATAACAAAAATAAATCAAAATCCTTTTTTTAACTAGAAACTATTTTAGGCAAAATACATTTTTGATCTTTACAAAAATTAAATACCTCTATAACTTTTGTACAACGTCAATGATTATTTATAAATATTTTGGATACTTTAATTATGTTATATGATAATATATTTTATTTTATTGTTAACATCAAATTTTATCGTATATTTACATTTAAATGCTCATAAAAATTAATCGCACAATTTTTTATTTTTCATTTCAGGAAGTAAAATTTGTTGAGATTTTTAATTTTTGTAAAAACCACTCAAGAATCTGTACATAAAGTTTTCACATTTTTGAGCTTTGACAAATCGAATTATGACTTCATAAAGTTAAATATTACTAAGTTAAATAAAACAATAATTTAAATAGCTGGTGAAAATGTAAGTTCCACTAATAATTTCTTTTTAAATTAATTTACAATAGAAAATAAAATTGGTATCATAGACTTTTTAAGTTGTGTAAATTTTCTTCTTTCTATTCCCTGCTAATATTTATGTGACTATTGGACACTATTTTTCAATATTCAAAAATATAAACTTTTTACTTATTCTAAGTCCCAAAATCATCAAATTTCTTTCCATGAAAAACTTTCAATATTTAAGATATAAGCATATTCACTGATAAAAAAAATAAGATAATAAACTAAAAAAAGTGAATAACTTCTGGAAAATTTTCCCGATAAAATCAAAATACCTTTATAGTTACAAAATATTGTTTTTGTTTGTAGCCAGCTAAGTACATGTACTTGAGACATATACTATATATATATTTATATACTATGGTAGGCATATCGTGTGTCCGATTGAAAAGCAAAATAATAATTAACCGCTTAACAAACACGCGTGCGTTTGACAAATGCCTAATGGGTTTTTCTTAGTGAGAGGTATGAAAGGAATTGTTCACGACGTATACTCACGAACGTGCTTGCAGATTTAGCGTTTACACAGAAAATCAATTACAGGAATATAAAGGAACGAGTGTTTGGATACGTCTAAAAACCCAATATTATATACTTAATAAATATATTACAATGATAATATTATTTGTTATAATCGATGGCTTATATTTAGAGCCGAAAAAAAATAGTTCAACTGACTTGCTTTTTGAGGAAACATGTGAATTTTTTATTGATTGAAATTGTATTTTACATCGTACAAGATCATAAAAAAAATAATACGGTTACCAGTGCCAATGAACACTATTATAACATCAGCTTAACCACTGATACATATACTCATAAAAAAAAATTCCCAAACATCACTGCAGTGAACCGCGTATTTATATATTATTATTAATGCTTATTTTATAAAAAGGTAAAATGTATACACACGTGAATGACAATGAACGGACTACATACATATTACGACATGGTGAGATGAAAAAGACGATGGTTTAAAATCGGTGATAGAAAAAAATATAATATAAAATCAATATATTATCTCATATTGACAGACGAAGCAAAATAACGCAAAACGCGCTTATGCGAATATTTGTTTCCCATGTACGATATAGAGTCCATCATATCGTGGAAGTTGTCACTTTATGTCATGGGCGATTATCCGGATTATAATACAGCACACATACGTGTATAAAAAGTAGGTACTCAACGACTAAACACCAAAAGTTATTATTTAAAATATTTTATTTCAAAAAGCCAAACACTATAATCCACTATAATCAAATATAGGTACATGATATCAATAGGGACATTTAAATTGTCACAATTGTATATGTGTGCCTATCTAATTATTAAGGAATTAATGAGAAAACTCTGTTGAGTGCTACTGACTGATACTACTAAATATTAATCAGCTGTATAGGGTCATATAGTTTGACTATATCTTTATTAAATACAATGTATTGATTTATGACGTAACCTAGGTGGGGCGAGGTGTAAAGAAGAATGTCATTTGTGAAAAAATATTTCCATCGCTTGAAAACAATGAATACTATGTTGTTTAAACAAGGTTGGTCCACATCAATATTATTGAACAATACATATTGATGAAAAATCTAAGCAAACGCATTGTTGAATTCAATGACATTATAGTATTTCTATATTTCATACGAAATATGCGGTGTTAGGTTAGGTTTATATATTCTATATATAAGCGTTACAAACATTATTTTGTATATTATTTTTTATTTCACAAGTATAATTAAACCTTTATTCAAAAACATTTATTTTGTAGGTATTCTTCCAAACACATTAGCGATTTGTATTAAATTTAAGCCCCAAAACTACAGATATGAAGGCAATTTAATTAAAATATTACTATCCTAATATTTTTTTTTTGTTTTTTTTTTTTTATATACTTTGATGATGACCAGCGTCGGTAGATAAAGTTGAGTTATGATTTTGAAGAGTTTTTAAATCTTTAAGTCATATAAAATGAAACAAAGCTGCTGTAAAAGAAATTTGATTTTTTATGACTTAAGTTTAATTAATTTTATGAAATTATACATTTTATATGTTTTATAATTTTATTTTTTTCAAGATATTATCTAAATTACTTAAATTTATACGATATAAACATTTTTAATGTGTACTTAATTACATAATTTAAAAACTGTAGAATATTATATTTAATAAACATAATATTTAAATACTTTTCTAGAACATATATTTTTGATATACAGCTATAAAATGTAATCATCTAAATCTATAAAGAATCATAAATTAATTTTTGGTAATTTATAATAAAATAACCTTATAACCTTGATATTATATGTAAACCGTCACATGTATTTTGGTAGAATATTACTATTATAGTATCTATATATTATTATTTTTATTCATGATGTTCAATAGATGCTGTTATAGACACATTTTTTTTTTTTTTTTTTACTACACTATGCAATTGCATAATATTTAATCTGTTATTTCTCATATAGAAAAAATAACATTATCTTAATACCAGTAATGCGATAACGAATAAACTGCTGCGAGCAGATTTTAAAATCCTACCCTTTAGTATCCTTCAAGTTATATATAAAAAAAAAAAGTTTTTCGTTACCTCTTTTCAAAAACAGTGCTATAAAATTGAATTGCATTACACTCGTTAAAAAAAAAAAAAGTCAGTCATTCCATATAGTAGCTAAGTAGCCAACGTTCAACGAGCCTAGTGCACTCTAACACAGTGTTTCTCGATTTGTTTAACGACGCGATCCCCAAAATAGAGAAAACATAAAATAAGTTTCATTATGACCTGCCTTTTTATAATAAAAACTAATTTAGGCTTTTATCTATTTTACCAGTTAAAAAATACATTGTATTATTAACTATTAAATAAACAAATAACTAGAATATAAAAACATTTCGAGTGTATAAATATAAATAACATTATGGTTATGTATTAATTTTTATCTTTAATATTAATATGAAAGATTGTTTTTTTACATCAGTGTTTAATTATTTTTTTCCAATGAAACCCCCAATCTAGGAGTTCATAAATCCTATACTGAGAAATATTGCTTTCCTCTAATGGATATGTTAAATTTCAATTCAATGATAAGTCGTTGTATACGGTAAAAAACAATTTTAAGCGAAGACAATGGTATATAATATTTTGTAAATTCCAGTGTTCAAGTAAATAATAATATAAGTAATGGTAAAAAATTTACCTAATAAATTTAATATTTTTTTTTATTTTAAAAATACAATAAAATAACTGAATTCATTATTATTAATTTAAATATCAAATTTCATAGATATTTAAACATAAAATATATATAAAACATATTTTATCTTATTTATTATTAAAACTGAAATAATAACCTACGGGACCTAGATATTTATAATTTATATAATATTAATAATAATAATTAATATTAATTAATTTTAAATAAAAATAATATATTGTTTATATAACGTGTAAATTATAAATCAATTGGATTTAAAATACAAGTCTTCAACTGCTCAATATCATAACCAAGTCACCAATCGTTATTTTCATGTATAGATTATACAAATTCAAACTTTAAAAAAAAATAAAAAAAAATATATAAAAATTAAATTTTACTAATTATAAAGGAGACATAATTTAGAAATTTATAAATACTTAAAAACCATTTAAATATTTAAATATTGGAAAAAGTATACAACAGAGCAAAGACGGTAAATAGTCTTTGTTATAGTACAATTTTTTTTGAATATTATATTAAAACTGTATTCGATGATAACAACGTGTGGATGTATTTATATTTATTATATTGTATTATATTGGTTATTATATTTATATACAAAAAAAGAACAGAGTTTGTGATCGCACTTATGGGAATCGTACTCTTAAATATATGTTTTTTTTTTTTTTTTTTTATAAAAATCGGAAGACACAACACAAGAGTTAAGTCATAAGTTTTGCCTTTGCTCGCGACAAAAAAAAAAAAAATAAATAAATAAATATAACAAAAACAATAACAATGACTTGTCAGACAGAACACCCAAAGTGCGGCTCACAACTCACAACCAGCTTACTTTTTACGCGGAAGGAATAATAACATCATATGTAGCACCGATGACCGGAGCCCTCCAACAGATATCGAGTGTCACATAGGCATAAAATACCGTGCTGGGCGATTAGCGCGGACGCCTGACGCGCCATCTTCGGGGGAAAAGGATCGTTCCGCCACCGCCACCGTCGTCGTCGTCAGGCCCTTCGCACTATCGCGACGGTTTTTCGAGCACACGTGTTCAGTCGGCCGTCTGCGGAGCATCAACGACGTGCGCGTTTCTCTCGCAGCCGGACACGCCACACGCGCCGGTCAAATCGTACGGCGGCACGGTCGAGCGCGCGCGCGCGCGCGAAAACGATCGCTTTACACGCACCCGTGAGAGACTCGCACCCACGTACAGTTGGTCGCCGCTGTTGTGGTTCGTGATCACGCCGACGAGGAATACCTTGTCCCGTTGACGATCGACGGCCGATATTATTTTGAAAATTTAATTTATTTTTTATTTTTTTCTCACAAATTCAACCCCCCCCCCCCCCCCCCCCTAAAACACTTTTCGCTCACGTTTCTCACCAAACCCACCGAGTTCGCGTTTCTCGAACGTTTGTCGTCCGCGGTTCCTGATGGGTTAAGCGAATGACCACCGACACCGCCGCCGCCATCGACATAATCACAATCGTTGCCATCGCGCTAAACACGTGAGTATATTATTATATTAATTCTACGTCGTTCTGTTATTATTGTGATAATCACATTCGTTAGACGGTCTTAGTACGTTGTATTACATTTTATCACCGGGATGGCAAACTCGCGGCTCGCAAGCCACACGTGACTATCGTCATTGTCAGATGCGACTCGCGTCTTTTTTTATAAAATCAAAACTCTCTTGTTATAGTTACTATGAATTTTAATTATTTAGGTATATATTATTAATACAAAACGTATCTATAAACGTGTTTGCTTTTGGTATCATTGTATTTATCCACGTGGCCCGCAAATCTATTGATGCTGGCCATCTCTGTTACATCATATCAGAATTCCAACACCTAGTGTTTTACACTAGGTTTTTCTGTTAACGGTAAACAGACTTATGCTTTAAACAGCCAGATAAGTTCTCTGAGTAATAACGTGTATTAATGATCCTTGGTGTTCCCCCTTAGAAATGTGCTTACGCTTAGTTATTACGCGGTTATTGAATACTGATCATGTAGAGCGACCAGTGAAGCACAACGTATTATCCCTTCTGTGGTGTTAAATAAAAATTCACGCACCCCAAAAACATACCGCTTTATTGACATGAAATATTATACCACGTCCAACGATGTTTATAGGCATTCGTATAATTGTAGCTGTCATTAAAATATATAATACTCTTATATTGATTGTTATTCGACACATATACACCATGTTTGGTTAGTTACATTTTCTAAACATCATTTAAAAATTCAAAATAGTATCAAAAGTGTTATCTTTTAGAAACTTTAAGTTAGTAATACACTTTTACAAAACTCATTTAAATTTATAACGAAATTCAATGTTGTGTATTGAATTCTATTAATACATACATACTTTAGGTATGTATACATTATACATTGTGCTTTATATTTTGAGACTTCAATAAATATAGTTTAATATCAGTGATGTTTTTTTTTTTTTTTTTTATTGAAATCAATAGTGTTCAATAAATGTTTTAAAATATAAGTATAATGTATTTTTAATAATATTTGTTATCTTCGATACAATTTAAACTTGGACTAACTAGTTTCCCTATTTTTTAAATTACTGTTTATCCGAAGTAAAGTTAACAATATTGAAAATCAAACTCGAATATTGATTAATCGATTTAAGACGTAAACAAAAGAAAACTTCCATCAGTTCTGTGTTTATTATATTTAAATTGTATTTGAAAAAAATTAACTTTATTATACTTAAAAGATTACAATGTTGATATATTGATTAAATATTATTGGGGTTATAATAAACAAATAAAATATTGAAAAGAACATGTATTTATCTGTTAGAGCTTAGTATTTGTATTAAACTACCCTGAGGAATGTAATATTAAAATAACAATGTTCCAAAATTAATGGTCCTATACATTTATATTTACCAAAATGCACATTTTTAGTAAATCTTCTATGATTAACGTTTTAATTTTCAACGTGTACCCAAAATAGATTAATGATATTTCAAAACACTTTAGTTTTTTATTATATTCCAGTTAGAACTAATTTTATTAAATCATTGTAATTTTAAAAATTAAATTATAAAGTAAAAAGTTAATTTAATAATACTATTTTTGTAAATTATATAATTATGAACTTTTTTTTTTATATTTAAGTAGTTTAATCAATATAAAGATAATAATTTAAGAAAATTTTTGCCTAAATACCATAACAAAATTAAAAAATAAAGATAATTTTGTTACACGATTGTTCACTAAAATTAATGTTATAAATAATAATTGAACCTAAATAATACATAATATTGATATTGTAAATTAAACGTTTGAGAGTATTTTTACGTAAGTTCCTTTTTTAGAATTATCTATAAATGTAATTATAATTGCATTTAAATATTATTTGATTTTTAAGTGATAATTAATATGACATACTATTTTGTGCTGGCCATTAGTAAAACTATAGTAATTACCATAATAATAATTTAATAAAACTAGTTTAGAAACTACTAAAAACAGTAAAATAATATTAGTCTCTCGGGGCGAAAATCATATTGTCCGTACTCGTTTACCAGGCTATGACCCACTCAACAAACTACATTTAAATTAATAAGCTTGGATTAGTTTTATGAAATGGTCCATACCATATGTGTGTATATTTTTGTGATATTATCTTCAAATCAGAAAGTTTTAAGCACTTTTATTTTCAGTGGATTAAATAATGCATTCAATTTGACTAAATTTAATAAAATTTTATACGTGAGAAAAAATACATTACAAGACAAATTATTTCTACTTAAAAAAAAAAAAATTAAAAAAAAAATTTTCTTGTGAAAAAACTCAATGGATTCCTATACGTATATGACTTTGGGTCGTATGCCTACCAATTTCCATATTTGACCTGGTGAAATAGCTAAACTGCCAAGTTTAAGTCATTCTTTCAAAATCACGTGCATGGCTTAAATTATTCATGCTAGATGTTACTTGTTGCACGTTTAACGACTTAAAACTGGGTCAAGCTATGTTTTTATATTCTATAAAAATTGAAATGACAATAATGTTGAATAAAATAATTTTTTTTTTGTTTCGTTAGATATAAAAATATTATTTAAATTATTTACACAGTATATAGAATGTATTTTATATATACTACATTTTGATTTTCAGATAAGTAAATTACATATTAAATTTGTCACTTTTTTTTTACAAACATAATATAATACACTATTACACGTAATATTGAATAATGAATGCATTTTAGTATGAAATTAATAGTTATTTTTAAATAATTGAAAATATTATTAGTATTATTAATTTACCATTGAAAATTAAATATAAAATCATTCAAATTATACACAAATTTAACAACTTGTCTATAATTATTAATATAGTTGTTTTAATTGTATTATAGTTATTAAAGATAGCTAATTATAGTATTAGTAAGGTTCAGGTATATGGATAGTAAGTTATTCTCTTTAAAAAAATAAAAAAAAAAACTTTTCTGCAGAAATATTTAATTTAATTCCTTTAAAAATACTCATAGAACCAAACAATTATCACGTTGAGTTTAAATGATAATAGTAGTAGTGTATTTGGTGGGGATGGTATATTGTAGTAAAATTGTTTAGCATATATTTCACTTCATGGTTATTACTACATGCGTATTAATCATTTATGTAACAAACAGTATTTTTTTTATGATTTAAGTTTTCAATATTTTAATAATATAATACATTTAAAATATACGTATATCTTATAATTTAATTAATAACTAATTATCTTGTTGTTTAAGAGTAAAAACTAGTATCCAATTTAATATTAATCAAAACAAACTGTAATATCTAATTAATATAATGTTATATTGTGACGTATTTATTAATAATTTAACATAAATTACATTTTACATAATTTCATCATCTTTGCAAACTTTGCAAATAATCATAAATTGAGTTAAAATTTCATATATAAAAAAATAAAAATAAATAATGAATGCAATTGATTTTTAATTCAAGTGTTGTTATTCTTTACCATTTATCAATTAAAATAAGTACTGCGAAGTTCTGTTTTATTAAAAATCAAACAAATATATTAAATTTTTCTATCTAGAGGCTTAAAAATATGTTGATATTATTCACAATGGAAATTTTAATGGTAGATACATTTGTTTAAATTATTAATTAAAATCATTTTTATATTATTGTTAGTGAATAATATAAACTTTACATTTGCAAACTCAATTATTTAAATCATATTAAGTAATAAAAAAATAAAAGCAATACTAATTTAAATTAATGTATTGTATTGTCTTAATTTTATCTTAAATAAGGTAATTATTAAAATATATTCATATTATTAGCATTTAAATAATAAATTATAATATTAAATAAAAATTTATAATAACTATAACGTTACAATCACAACATAACTTTTGAGTAATTTTAAAAGAATTATTGTATTAAAGGTTTAATTTAATGATACAATATCTCATTTATAATTAGTTAATACATTGGTTTATACTGATAAGATCAATACTATTCAATAAACAAAATTATTGTCTAAAAATAAAATCAGTAATTATATATAGTAAATTCATTATTTTAAATGATACTTAAATTACCTGAGTAAAAATGTGTTTTGATATTATAAAGTGTGTTACGAGTAATTATTCAGGTGAAAAATGTGTTAAAAAAATAATATAACTGAAAAAATAACTCATTAAAAAGTACAATACTGAAATAAAAAAGCGATTATTTGTTACACAAGGATTAAATTCATAATCGTTTGTTTAAAAAACAACTTTCATTATTGTAATATGTATTTGAATTCACCATAATTTAGCTTGAATCCTTATTTTTTCTATTTACATCTATATACTTAAAATTTAAAAAAAAAAATTTATATTAATTATATTTTAAAATTTCATTATAGTTTTAAAGATCTAAAAAAGATGATCTATATTTTTTAAACGAGTCAATTTCATATATAACTATTTTTTATCAAAATACATCTATGATATTTGTATTACATTTTTTCCACTTTGTTTTAAAATAAATGTAAAATACAACGTTATAATATATATTTTTATGTATATCAAAATAGTCACATTATTTTGTAGAAGAAATATTTTTTTTTTGTTATCAAATTATTTATGATAAACATGTTTTGCTTCAGAGTTCTGACACTTCCATTGTATATATTATTTTGTACCCTAGAGTACCTGTATTACATTATTTAAAATTACTATGAGAATAATTTCCATTTCACATTATTTTGACTGTTTTAATTTTTTCAGCTGTAATATCATACAAATCCATTTTAATTTTTAGTAAGTACAAATGACTTCTGGCAAAAATGTAATTCCTTTTGTCAAAGTTACGTTTCATTCATATTTTTAGATTAAATTACATAGTTAAGTGGAAGCATATTCGAGAATTTCTGTAATAAAAATAAATATTATGACTTAATTTTATATTTAATATTAAATTAGTAGGTATTGGCTATAAATTAATTAAGTTGAAT